CATTTTGACATCGATAAAATAGGTTGCACCTTTTTCATCCCTGTAAAACTGCCTGTTCCTCAAAACCATAGCCTGCTTAAAGGGGGGAAGCCGCGGAAGGCAGTCTGGCAACTCTGTTCAAAAGGTCTTCCTCCGGCCATTCTCACATATACGATATATAGGTTGTGGATGCAACGGAGAGAATTTGTCTAGTTTTAAAAAGTGGATTGATGTGTTATCGATGTGAAATATTGTTGAAAACTAGTGAAAAGTGTGAGGAATATTCTAGTGATCGAGTTTTAAGTGAAAGGGTGTTTGTGTGTGAGTGAAAGTCAAACCAAAAATAGTTTTTGAATTGAGGTTATGTTTTGTGTTGTCTTTTTTATGGTAGCAAAGTAATCAATTTCAACATTTCTTCTAACAAGATGCCGAATAATTGTTGTGTAGCAGGGTGTGAGTCAAACTACGCATAGGTAAAGAAGTATGTTTCGATTTTCGAATTTCGTAAAGATGAAGACCTGCGAAAAAAGTGAACATCTGCAATAGGTACCTCATAAAAATTGGACCTCATCTCAATACTCTACAGTCTGTGCAATTTATTGCGTTGAAACTGATATTAGTAGACAAGATACATTTTCGCTCAGAGATGGATCATTCCTGAAAAAAAATTCTAAGAAACAAGAAACCCTCAGTCAGTTAAAACAGTAGTTCCTCAATTTTTCCAAATTTACCAAGTCATCTTTCCAAACCTACTACATCATTAACAACAAATATCGAAGAAACGCGTCAGAAATGTTTATAGTTGTTCAAAATAAAAAATATTTTATTTTGGAAAATCCAACCTTATTCTCAAAATTACGAGCAGCTAGTTGGGAAATATGTATAAAAATTTTGAATTGATAATTGTCCCAATAGGAAAGTATGTAAGACAGAGAAGGGAGTGAAATTTATTTTTATCAATTAGGTTCCCATTTTTTGAATTGACTTGACCGTTACTTGATGAACTCAGTTCATTGTACCAGTATATCGCCTGACGAAGCTACTGCGTTGGCGAAACGTGTCGTGTGTTTGAGAATTTTGTGGTAATCTTATCGTTTGTGAAGTTTTGTAATTAGGTTCCCAGTCAGATGTATTGAAAATATCTTCCCAAGTTGTAGTATTGAATGAGAAATTTTACTAGATGATAATAAGTTGGGATTCAATGATTCAAAATGGAGCTTCCTCATGATATGAAAATGGGTAGGTGGTCACAACTTCAAAATAATATTCTAGCAAGATACATAAACAGCTCAGATCACACTGAGAATCAGACCAAACAAAACGTACGTACATTTAGGCATGTTCTTCAGTATGTGGCTTCAATATGGATACTCTAGGCGACTGAGTAAGAATTATTAGAGTTGTGTCTCGATGGTGCGATCACTAGTACACAAAGGATTAATAATGACATCCAGTGTGATGAAGCCTGTGATATTCTCAAATTATTTCATTATATGATCTCTGAATTATCACTAATATAATAATTATAAAATCTCCAATCCAAGAATAATAGGTTAGTCATCCTAGTCCAATCACAACAAAATCATCAAAAATCTGAATAATTTGCATAGGAAAATATGATTCACTGGGCGTCTCCATGAATAATTGTCACAGAGTGACGTCATGCGTAAAGCTGTTCAAAGTGATCATATCTCCTCTTGGTTTTAGTATCGAATAGTAACTAATTTTGATAACAAGTGCAAATCGGACATAATGAATAATAACGTTCTGAAAAGTGTTTTTCAAGTTATAGGTCATGTCTTTTTGAACTTGATTAACACGTCATTTGAAACTGGCAAATTTCCTCATGGATTGAAAACGAGCACAGTTATTCCTGTTCCTAAAGTGAATAATTCTGATGATCCAGTTAATTTTCGCCCTATCAACACATTACCACCCATTGAAAAAGTTATCGAATTAGCTGCTTATAACCAAATGAGAGAGTACTTTGAACATAACAATATTATTATGGATCATCAGGGTTTCGAGCCAATCAATGAAGGATGAAAACAAATATATTGTAGCTGTTTTTTTTTGACTTCAAGCGAGCATTTGAAACCATTGATATAGACATATTGCTGCAAAAAATGAGATATTATGGGGTAGGTGGAAAGGTTTTCGACTGATTCACATCTTTTCTCACATACATCTCGATTGACCAAAGTGAATGGAAAAGTTTTGTCTAGTGAATGTATCAACACGGGTGTTCCTCAAGGTAGTGTTATAGGACCATTTCTTTTTATACTCTACCTGAATGATATTAATTTCATCGAAGATATTGAGTTCATGAAACTTTTTGCAGATGACACTCTTGTTGCAGCAAGTGATGAAGATTTGGATATTGCTATAGGTAAAGTAAATAGGGCTCTGAATAAAATATCATCATTTCTGAATATAAATAAGTTGGAGCTCAATCATCAGAAAACTGAAGCTATGGTCTTTACTTCTAAGTACAAACAAAGTCAAATCAATTATCAGGATATAAACATAGAAATTTATGGTGACAGAATGAAAATTGTTAATTATTTATTTATTTATTTATTTATTTATTCTCATATGAATACATTTACAAAGACATACATATTCTAATATTATAAAAATTCTAAATTTTATCTACTTCACATAGGTTATTGACCTGTGTGTGAATTAGATAATTATTATAAACTTTTGAAATTAAATATTTTGGCGTTATTGTAGACAATACACTAGACTTCAAGTGTCATTTTAGGTACATTTACAAAAAAATCGTGAAAAAGCTTTTCTTCTTTTCTAGAATTGAGACCAATTTATCGTTTCAGTCATCTGTCTCTGTTTACCGAACAATCATACAACCTCATTTTGATTATTGTGCGAGTTTGCTTTCACTATTGGATGGTAATGGTTTATCTTCTCTACAAAAATTGCAAAACCGCGGAATGAGAATTATAGTTCAATGTAACAGATTAACACCGGTTAATTTGATGTTATATGTTCTTGAATGGATGACAGTGAAGAAAAGGATCAAATATTTCTCTTTGATATTTATTAACAAAGTAGTACATTGTGATTTTCCAAAGTACTTGAAAGATTTTATAACTTTTAATCATCAGATTCACAATCATGACACAAGAGGTAGATATGATTTTCATATCAATCGTAAAAGATTGAAGGGGGCTATGAATTCATTATTCCACCACAATCAGATCGAGTACTACAATCCCTATTTTCAAAGAGAGACTCAAAAGTTTCATTATGATTTAGTCAATATATATTATAATTGAGTATTTTGAATGGAGAATTGGGTCCTCCCAAGAAGGCATAGATATCCATTATATTATATGAAATATTCATTGTACTGTGTTGAATCAACATTACATATTAGTTTAATTTTCATCATATAACCTCGTCTCCTCTCACTCTAAAGTGTTTGTGAAAAAGTTATAAAGTTTCATTCTTATTCAATTTTGGGGATATACACTAGATTTTTGACATTCGTTGTTTTTTAGGTTATATTGAGGTCACTGGTGTATCATATGGAATTCCTGATTCAACTATATCAAGATATAGATGAACAATCCTCTAGTTTTAGAGTTCACTACTCCTGCATAAACTTTGCGAGGTAGGGCACATAAAAATCGTACTGAAAGCTTGATATATTTCACCAAAAGAGACTGTCCTTAGATTGTATACCAAGGTTGACTGAATTGTCTGAATGAATTCTGATTTCAAGCTGAGCACAAGTTTATCTATGAGCTGAATGAGCTGAGCCTTATGATTGAGAAATTGTGGAAACCTCGATGTGGGTATTTGAACTACTGTACTCATGTCATGTGTGCTAAATATATTTTCGGAAATCCAATTCGGAGAAGAATTCATGGAGTGACTAATATCACACTATGTATAAAACTTCGTCTGGGACGAAAAGTAGGCTGATAAAAAGTAATATGTAAAATGTGTAGGAAAATGAAGCATACTTTACCCCCATGTTATACATATGATTTTTCCGTCTCCCTTAAATCAAAAGTCATTTCCGAAAAATGTATTGATGAAAGTATCAAAGAAGTAGGTATACGCAGTATAACTCATAGGCACGCTATTGTCACTCTTGCATCTTACATATTTTCTATTTGTGGTAGAGTAATAATCATATAAACTAATGTCTTTCGCCATATTGGATCCGTCATCTAGAATTTACGAATTTTGACGGAACAATCATTATCTCCTACCCCGATAACCCCCAGACACCAATTTTGAATAGAATAGAATAGATCGGATCTCCATTACAACACTCGTCCACCATATTGGATCTGCCATCTTGAATATCCCAATTTCGACGAAATAATTATAATCTCCGACCCCGGAAATCCCCAGACACCAATTTTGATTTTTGAATAGAATCGGATCATAATTACAAAATTCGTTCGCCATATATTGGATCCGCTATTTTGAATTTCCCAAATTTTGACAAAAAATCATGAAGTACGACCCCGAAAACCCTCAGATACCAATCTTAAATAGAATCAGATCATAATTAGAAATGTCTTACGCTATATATTGGATCCGTCATCTGGAATTTTTTAAGTTTGACGAAACAATCATTATCTCCAACCCCGGAAAACCCCAGATACTTTCCAATTTTGAATAGAATCGGATCATAATTACAAAACTCGTTCGTCATATGATCTTCCTCAACAAGTAAATAACCTGTACATACCTATTATTAAAATTTTTAATGATTTTCTGTAGCGCCCATGGATGTGACGTGACAGCAATGTCAGGGATGCCAGTAGACAAAACTAAAATCTCTAGATCATTGAAAAAGAATGTAGCTATGATCTGTCCGTACCCTGTTAAGATGACTTTAACGTCAATTTCCATCAAGGGACCCTAATCTATATATGTTCCATATTTTTTCTATGTATTACTATTATTATTTTTATTTGTAAATTAGGATTTCCTATTTAAATAAAAATTATTATAAAGATTATTATCATGCCACTCACCTATCTGTTTGTCGCTAGTTTTAGGTACATCCGGAGCATCGATACCAACGCTGCTCCGACTCTCGACCCCGACGCTCTTCGTCACCTTCAAGTCGCACTGCGTGTCCCGATCGACGTCGTTTAACTTCTTCTCCCCCGTCTCCGATTCCCCCCTCTCGATCCTCTCCACCTCCAAGGCGAACGTGATGTTCTCCCTCTTCGGACTGGCCAACTCGATCGGCTCGCTCTTCTCCTTGCTGCTCTGCTTCAAGATGCTCTTCGTCCGCTCCGCTAGGGGTTTTTGGGGGGCAGCGTCGGGCGGCGGTTCCGAATGACCATTGTGCAGGGGGGGTTTGGCGGGAGGTGTGGGCGAAGGGGTAAGGGCGGTATCTTTGGCTGAGTGGTCTTTGGGGACCACTCGGATTTCCAGTTTTCCGGCGACCTGGAATGGGTTATGTAACGTTTTCATTTGCTAATATATAACTCGCCTATATTATCAAACGTTACCCTTTTCATGGTATTTTCTACTAAAACACTAGAGAAACTCTGCAGATATACACTGTCGAATTTATAAACCTTTATTGCTTAATTCAGTTGACAGAGTTCAGAATTCGAAATCTAATATTAGTGCGCCCTGTTTATCACTTCTCATCTTGTATCCAACAGAACGCTCACAGGTAGTCAAAAGAAAAAGAGATAATGAATTAGTCAGTAATATTATATAACTAGGAAACAAACACAAACATAATTTAATAAATTCTAGCTACTTGAATAAACCTTACCTTTCTCGTTTGAATACACAGTGTTGTCTTCTTCGAATACACACTGTTTACTATACATAGTCTACTTGATTTCAATGATGCAGGCACTGAAAATAAACAAGGTAACCAATAGAATGTCATTCAACAATATTATAAAAATCAGATATAGGTTTGATTAGAAAACTGCTTGCACCTACCTTTATTGTAAATAAATTGTACATATCGTAGAATCGAATGGGCCTGGGTAATTTCAAGTGATCCAATTATTTTCGTTTTGTTTTGAAATGAAATCATCCAATGTTTACGTCTTGGTTATGATTTACCAATTCTGCTTTATTAGTCACTGTCACTCTATTCTTGCTTCGATACAGTCGTATTCTTCTTTCGCTATGACATCAATTTCCAATCAGCACGAGACCTTTTGGGTCTACTGTTATGTTCGTGAGTATCTAGCTCGAGGTAGAGCAGAGTCGTATGTTTCAAGGTCACATCACCAGCAGCCTCAGTGTACAGGTACAATTAGAAATACTGCTACGAGACATTTCGTTTGGTCATTCGTTAACAGTTCCGATCATTGGTTCCGATTCAGTCTTTTAATGTTCTGAGATATTGACGATTTCTGACAAGTTCAATGTCTGGGTCAAGTTCTCTTTTCCGGAGAGATCATTCTCATTCTTGGCCATTTTGCTGCTGCTGCTGGATGTTTCACGTGTTGGCTCGTCAGGATCTTGGGAGATCCTGATAGTTTTGCATAGGTCCCTAGCCTTATCTAGGAAAAATTATGTTTCGGCGTGACGGTAAGATTCCAAACTCTCTTTTTAATATCGTTATAAAATTTTTCAATCGTATTCAGGATGGAGGTCTCCATTCGAGAATTTCTCGAGACACGTGCTTATATTCCATGGACACCATTGCTGCTCGACCGGTCATCCTGGAAGTCATTCATCCATCTCGATTTGGTAAAACCCTCTATACCCCAGAGATGAGTTATTTCATTTTATTCACAAGGAGAGTTGATTCTTAAATTTTTTTGAGACCAGGTTCTGATACCTACCTAATCAATTTCAGGGTTTTACATATGGGCTCATTCCTTATCATGAGGTTTGTTGGATTCCTGTCCTGCTTTGTATGGGCTGATATGGCTGCGCAAAGCCCATCCCAATTCTCCATGTGGTAGGCTGACCCAAGATCGACAACCTCAAGCAGTCTCCAACTTCACAGTTTTGCAGTCTCCAACTTCACAGTTTTGCAGCCTCGAACTTCACAGTTTTGCAGTCTCCAATTTCCACAGTTTTGCAGTCTCCAATTTTCACAGTTTTGCAGTCTACTAGCTTCAAAGTATCATATTCTGGCAGTTTCTTAGTCTCCTAGTCTTCTATCCACTTCAGCTTTCTACATGATGATGATCAAAACCACGACGTCATCATTGAATAATAGCAAGTTTTTTAGTTATAAGTTTCATTTAATTGTCTTAAAGCTAATAAAGATTATAAATGCATGTACATAATATAGAAATATTCAGATAACTCTCTCTCTTCTGTATCACCCAATATAACTGAATTTATTATTATATCGTTTTATGCATAGATGAAAAACTGAAGATATTGTTAACTGTTCTTGATTTGTTTTCTCTTTTGTAACAAAGCGAACGTATACATTTTTTTACTGGAACAATATTTGAAGGGGCTGAACTAGATCTTTTCTAAATTGTTTTCAGCTCCTTTTTTTGTATAAGTTCAATTCATCACATTTTTTGAAGAAACTTCTTTCTGATGTATGCAAAAATAAACGATATTGTTATTATTATTATTTCAGTCAAAATAAACCTACTACTCAGATTTCAAAAGTGCCCTTGAAATGTTCAAGCCCTATTTGAAACTTTCAATATCCTAAATACTAGCTTACAACAGGCAATTTAACGGTACAACATATCCCCATAAAATTCATGAATTTTTAGGACGTTTTCTTGAAGTTTACAAATATTCAATAACCATTGGCAGCAACTAATATTCAAAGTGGGTTTCTTTCTATAATTTGAACAAAACATTTGAACAAAACTGTCAATGAAGTAGTATCATCATATCAATAGGGTACCTATATCAAATTGAAACAGAATTATGAGTATAATATATATAAGAACTAACTTTGTATCCACCAACTGTGGAAATTGTAAATACCTACTCCACAGATTTTCTACTTTCTACTGACATCTCTCTCTCTCAACCCATATATTTCAGGTTTCTGTTTCTTCCTAGATGAACGACTATCTGAAAGAACCAGTGACTTCCATTAAAATGTACATTTGACAATTTTTTACATTAAATTAATAATTCTGGAACTTTTCTGTGAATTTTACTTTACCATCTATCAGGATAGCAAATTCAAAAATCCACGCCCATATGCCGCCGATGAAAAGCTGCCGTCGCAGTGTAATTGTATAATACACGTTACAGTAATTCTATCCAGATGGTTTTGTGATGTGCACTTGCTCGGTTTTTGAACTAGGTGTTGATTATACTGGGTGTGACTATACGACACATTATCCGCATCTACTACACCGGATGAAATTTGGAAAATCGAATATGCCCACTTGAGGACACTTTCTCACATTCAAGGATTTTTTCATCTTCCAGTTTTCCTGGAAATGTCTTCAACTTTCAATTCTCAAATGGAACACCCTGTATTTCATTCTATAATGGGTTAGGAGTTATTGAAATGATTTCAACGATACCGGGATCGATTGGGTTGTTTGAAACGATTACGAAGATATTCGCTTTCGAAATTTCCATAAGCTCAATAGGTTTGACGGCGCAAAATCGAAACGTTTTTCTTTGTCACACTCATTGAGCTTATGGATACTTTGAACGCGAATATCTTCAGCGAGTCCACAATTACTTTCGAGAAGTCTGCAATCAATTGTATGGCCAGATATCCTAATGATCATCATATGAAATTCGAAGAAACAAAAATTTTGCATTCAGAAGAAAATTTAACAAAAAGACTGTTTTTAGAGATGGTTGAAATTAATAATGAGAAATATACTATGAATAAAAAAACATATATTGATAATCTCAGTCAGATATATTCTTATTTATTATCTTTTGCTCATAATGATATTCAAAATGACTCTTCCTTATAAGATATTCAACAACAATCTAATTTTATAATTTTATTTCTTCCGGTATATAAATTATATGACTTTTGTCACTGTCCTATCAATTTCACGTCTACATCATTAATATTTTTTTGAACTCATTATTATTCCCATTTACACCTTCTAACTCGCATTGCAAGTAAGTTCTTGTTTTTGTTGAATTCACTTGTGACAAATTGTTTCATATAGAATATATATAGAATTTTTTTGAAAGCTCGGCATAGCAATAAAGTAGTTTGCTTGTAGCCTGATTGACTGAACTCACCGATTATATTATATTATAAAATAAAATACACACAAGAGTGGCCAAATACTAAAATTCCGTTCTTATCTCTTCTTCAGGCCGATAAAAAGTCTGAATCCAGAGAAGAAAGTCCGAATTCAGAGAAAAAAAATTAAATTCAAAGAAAAGAGTTTGACTTCAAATATGAAATAAGATACACAACAGTGGCTTTTGTGTGCTTTCGTTAGTTTGAATTCAGAGAAAAATGTCTGAATTCAGAGAAAAAAGTCTGAATTCAAAAGATACAATGAAATTCACACAACAGTGGCCTTTCTGCGCTTTTGTAAGTTTGAATATAAAGAATCTAAATTCAGAGATAAAATGAAATACACACAAGAGTGGCCTTTGTACGGTTTGATAAGATTGAATTCAGAGAAATAGTCTGAGTTCAGAGAAGAAAGTCATGAATTCAAAGCAAATAGTCTGAATAATGAGATGTACCCGGTGAACAACTAAGAACGGCTGTCATATCTATCATTTTCCAACTTTGATAGTTCGATAGTTCCGTTGGCGAGAAGCTATCATGTTGCGGTTTCCGTTGGTCTGTTGATATTAAGTTCCTCTATTACATCGTGTAATGATATGCATACCATTAGATTTATTCTATCTCAAACTTGTATCATTATTCGTTGCTGAGATATGGCCGAAGTAAATGAGCTATACAGACACGGGACACAGACACAGCCGTTCTTAGTTGTTCACCCTGTACACTTTCATATGAGGCAGTCATACAAATGCTGTGTTCAGAGTTCATGGGCGTAGAAACATCGACAAATTAATCATAATGTATTGGAAAAATTATAAAATCAACTGGATTACTGATTTGTAATTCGATTCCCGCGTCCACATACCTCTTGCAATCCCTCGTCGTCGCCGTTCTCCGCGCCACCCGCTTCGCCTGCCCCCTCCGCCGCCTCCGCCAAGTTCAAGGCCGGCAGGCTGCCCCACCTGCCCGCCCGCGACCGCCCATTCCACGCCTGCGCCGCCGCCCCCTCGGCGTTCTGCGCGCGCTTCGTCGCCACGTTCCGCATCACGTCCACCTCGAAGACGAGATCGTCGAAGGCCGCCTGCTGCAGCAGGGGCGGCTTGAGGCTGGCGCGCACGGAAGGACCGAGCGACGGGGTGGACCACGCTCGCGGGAGGCCGCCTGGAAAAGAAGAGGAATGGCGTGTGTTATTTTCGGGTGTCTGGAGTGGAGACAATAAAAATGATATTAGATATTGTCACGTTTTTTTTTTGTTCGGGTTCCCACGAAAAGGGTTATAATAATAATAATAACCTTCATTCAACAAAATATATGAATAATAAATATAAAAAATGGACCCCGCACTAAACTATAGGGAAAATGGCTCTCGATGAAAATCGCTGAATTTTTGGTATGTTGCAGAATTTGATATACCGAACAGATATTCCATTGAACTAACCTCAAAAATGAACAGTTTTTTCGATATTGACCTCCAAATGTCATTTTTTCCAGAAAAAAGTATCTGAGAATGGTTGAATTTTTGCGTTTCTATCATGGATGATTTTCACGTTTCTCATGATAGTTCCTTGGTCATTATCCATAGTTCAATGTCAATGAATGATGTGATTAACCTAATGATCTTGAAACCCTCGTGGTTCAAAATTACTAATATACCGAATTTTCTACTCGTGACAATATTCAACCAACAACCTAGCTGAATTCAACGCCACCAAAACTCAAGCCTGTATCTTCTCTAGAGAAGTGGAGCTCAGTATGCCTGATATAACAATGTCTGGAAGCGCCATTCCCACCGAGTCCACTATATCTATGCTCGGTATTTTCATCAGCAATACTGTTTCATGGTATAATCATGTCAGATCCATCGCGAAGGCTGCTTTACAAAAACTCGGACTTTTGTTCCGTGCGGAAATGTACTCAAGACCTCAACAGCTTCTCAAGGCTACAAGGCACAGATTTGTTTTTATCTCTTGGAGCGCACAAAAGGAAATTCCTATAATATTTTAAGAACATCGTGCGTATAGTCTATGTAAAGTCAGTTGAAACAGATCATTTAAAAGGAATGTCGAGCGGCGTTGCCGCTCTCTTTGAACTTTCAGAGGGACCGATGGCCGCGGTGAGATGTTGTTCCAACTGACTGCATGGACTTTCCCTTAAAAAGATAGAGGATAGGCGTTGAAATTTTGAAACTTTTGGAGGTTTCTGGGAATACTTCATCGGCAAAGAATTCAAAGGCTTTGGAAGTTTTACAATACTGTTCTCACACATGGGTTTCAGCACCAAAACATACATGGTTGCTCTTAGATTCCATTCAGTCGCCTGGTGGGTCATGCCACACTCACTAATCCTTTCACCTCATTAGAACACGGGAAATGTTCCTCAGAAATCTCGGCTATCATTCCATCACTAACAATACCAGTCAGACAAACTCGACAAGCCCAGTCAGCACATCATTGCGTTGTCAACCTTGAAATATATCGAACAACACTTTACCAAAACTCGTTCGTCTATAGAAAGGCGAATCTCTGGGATTATTTGCTAAGAACTTATAACCACCAAAAGTTTCGAAAAATAACACATACCCCCCCCCTCCCTTACTCCCTAGGTATGCACGATGTTCTTCGAATAGTATAGGACTTTCCTTTCGTGCGCTCCAAGAGTTTTAAAAAAATCACGATATACAGTGTGTGCGATTTCCCGATCCAACGTATTTTTGGCATATGGCATAACAGCAAAGTGATAACAGAATCATGACGAATGTTCGTAACACATCTTGTATCGTCATTCAAAAATTGACATCAGAGGACATATTCAGGACTATGCCATGATTGAATAATCTGAAATAGTATTGGTATCTTCTGTTATTCGGATCACCCTGTCAATAAGTATCATTATCTTTTTCCCGATCAACGTTTATTTTGATCGATCGTCATTGATGAACACAATGAATTAGCCGCCTCGTAGGCGAAGGCATCCCTATTTCCTGAAAGTCAGTTCATTGTTGACCACCATGTAGAAAGGCTACTGCATCTTTTCTGTGTTCTTGAAACATACCCATCTTTAACGAATCTCGGTAGGGTGAATGCATATCATGAGATATTCTTCATTAAGCTTCGAAGTCTCGAAAATACACAAAATTCAAGTCAATTTCTCTAGATGGTTTTGAAATATCGATGATTCAAAAAAGTTCAAGCGATATTGAAACCATGCTGAACTGTACAGTGTGTCCAGTTTTCGATGCTTCTGCGTGATATCTCAGCTATCTTTCGAGATAGAATCTTGCGGTTTTCGCGGTCCTGTACCACTTTTCTGTGAAACTCAAGATGGCCTTATCAGATTTTGCATAACTGTTTGCGTTTATGAGATACAGGGCGATTTTGAAAATTTATACTTTTTGGACCCCCTCTATATCTACGAAGTTTCTCAGCGAAAATGTCAAATTGGAATCTTATCCCATAGGGAATTTTGCGCAGAATTCAGTGGCGCACTCAAATTTTTTTTTCTGGGTATCGTTTCGGAGATACGACTCAAACTTATGATTTTTCAAATGGAACACCCAGTATTTCATAAGCTCATTAAATTTCTCATTTTTTTCCCATCAAAATGAAATATGATGAATAGGTATAAAATTTTCAAAAATGCTCCAAAATCACTAAAACATTGAATTTTATTAGTGGGCTATGGATTTTTCATTTGAAAAAAGTTCCAATTGAAGGAATATTTCATGTGATTTTTCCATGAAAAGGACAAAAACAATCCCAACACTACTTAATTAAGATAACACAAAAATTAGGTACCTGATAGCAACAAATGAATGGTAATAAAAAGTTCATATTCTAGAATAAGCACCTGATTTAATATTCACTAAGACAATTGAATTTCGAAATTAATCAGTAACTTATTCATTGAATTGTTCAAATTGATGTCCACTTTCCCTCACACGCTTTCTCAATACGTCTTAATGCATTCAAAATCATTAAAGGATGTCTTTGTAATTCCTGGAAAACTGCCTCTGTTGTTGCACGAAGTTCTTCAAGATATTTGTGACTCTTACTGTATCAAGACGTATTGAGAAACTGTGTCAATTGTGTGTTATGGGAAATGGATATCAATTTGAACAATTCAGTGAATAAGTTATTGAATAATTCCGAAATTCAATTGTATTTGTAAATATTTAATCTGGTGCTTATTCTACATTATGAACTTTATATTACTATTTTTTTATCGCTATCAGGTACATAATTTTTGTGTTTTCTTAGTTAATTAGTGTTGGTATTGTTTTTGTCCTCTTCATGGAAAAATCAAAATGAATATTCCTTCAATTGGAACTTTTTTATAAGAAAAATCCATAGCTCACTATCAAAATTCAATGTTTTTGTGATTTTAGAGCATTTTTGAAAATTTCATATACATTTATTATAAATCATTTTGAAGAGAAAGAAATGAGGAATTTTATGAGCTTATAAAATACAGGGTGTTCCATTTAAAAAATCATAAGTTTGATTTGTATCTCCAAAACCATAACCTGAAAAAAAAAATGTGAGTGCGCCACTGGATTCTGCGTAAACTTTCATATGGGATAAGATTCCAATTTGACATTTTCGCTGAGAAACTTCGTAGATATAGAGGGGGTCCAAAAAGTATAAATTTTCAAAATCGCCCTGTATCTCATAAACGGAAACAGTTATGCAAAATCTGATTAGGCCATCTTGAGTTTCACAAAAAAGTGGCACACGACCGCGAAACCCGCAAGGTTCTATCTCGAAAGATAACTGAGATACCACACAAAAGCATCGAAAACTGGACACACTGTACATACGATCAAAGTCCTGACAGAAGAAGATATCCATCTGGCTTGACACCTGGAAAAATTTCGACATTAAAATGAGCGTTTTACGAATAATATGTGAGATTTCGTCAAATCGTTCTTTTCATATTGATGCTGCTACAATCATGTACCTTGTGAAATTATGAATCCTTCATTCAGATGGATAACCGCAGTCAACATCTAGGAACAATTTTTTTCTGGATAAGTCAATTCTAGGGGTCGCAAGTGGGCACTTTTGGATTATTCAGTACTATACTGTATTGGAATGGTGATCTCCAGACACTTCTGAGTTGATATGAAATTAAGAAACCACTATGGTGCACGATTCCTTGATCACTTGGAAAAAAGGTCAGTGAAAAGACGATTCTCAGCGAGCGATTTCATTGCAATCATTCCAAATCATTCGAACACATAATATAGCATCCCATTATGTCATTATCTTCTTCAATTCTTCAATTAGAGCTTGTTTCTTTGACTCTAGTACAATATACCCAGTACTAATAATGCTGACTATTTACTCAAAGAGATAATATTCCTGAAATTGATATTAGACAGATTGAAGAAGCATTGGAAGTCTTTGCCAATGAATGTATCCCTTGCTTGCGGTGAAGTGTTTTTCCAACATAAACTATACGCACGATGTTCCACGAACATTATAGGAATGTCCTTTCGTGCGCTCCAAGAGATAAAAAAATATACATAAAAAAATTATTCGAACAATGTTAGATTTTATACTTCTGACCAGAATATGCAGCGCTATTTCTTGAGATTTTGTCTTGGAAGGGTTGTTGTGCCCTATACTTATCTCAGCAAGAATTTCTATTGGCATAATTTTGACTTTTCGCCACCTTGTGGGGCCAAGGAACCCCCTTTGCATTATCAATTTCGAAATGTTACAATTAATTTTCAATATGGCTTGAATTTTATTCAACTAAGGACATTCAGTTCAAAAAACATATCTATGACATAAGAAATAAAAATAACATAAAATTGAAATATAAAACAAACAAGTCATTTGGACGTAGAAATTTTAAATTTTTAATTCCTTACCTATATAATGAAATTCCAAATGACATTATAAAAACAAAATCACTACAATCCTATACAATAAAAATAAAAAACTGGATATTAAACTCCCCTAAAAATCATTTTATTTCTTTAATTAACATTTAATAATATCATTAGATAAATTTTAATAATAATTGTGAATAAGTATGTATGAATATAAATAATTATGCCTATTGAATGAAATGCTCAGTACACTATATATTATGAATTGAATACTTGTCTCATTTCTTAATGAGACAATTTTCCCTTGTGATAATTTGATATTGTT